TTATCTCCTGCTTTTCTAATTTGAAAATTAAAGAGGAACAGAGGCGCCTGCAGGGGGTGCCTACCTCAGAGAGGGGCTCTGCCCAAAGAAGCTGAGGCTGGAGGGGGCCAGCAAGGCTGGGCCCTATAGCACTGCTCAAAGGCTCTCTGCCCCAGCCCAGGATGATGGCCGTGGTGGCCTGAGTCCCCCTTTCTCTTCTGCACCCTCTTCTCCCACCTCCTATCTCCCTCTGAGACCACCCTCTCCCCTCCCATCAGGGGCCTCCTTGGGTGCTGGCTGGCAGGTGCAGACTTGGACCAACAGCTGTCTGTGTGTGTGTGTGCGCGTGAGAGAGAGAGAGAGAGAGAGAGAGAGAGAGAGAGAGAGAGAGAGAGAGAGGAGGCTGGGCCTTGCACACTTTGTCCTCCCTGCAGACCTGGGACCCCACTCCCGCATCCTGGCCCCATGGCAGAGGCATCCTGTCTACACGGCCCGAGTGGGCAAGGGTCCTGGGGGAGGGTGGGTGGTGAAGCAAGGGGCTCAGTCTGCAAAGAGGAAATGGGGATAAGGGGCAAGTGTCAGTCCCCAGAGAGCGAGCTCAGCTGCTGGTGGCTGCCCAGGCCTCTGATAGGCTGGGTGGGTAAGGACAAGGGTGTGGTCAAGAGGCTGCCCCGGCCCGGCCATCTGCTCTCGCTCTCCCTGGCAACCAGCCCCAGCACATCAGGCAGAGATGATGACTTCACAAGCCATCTGCTGCCCACCCCTGGCCGCTTCCACCGAACACAGGTGCCCACACCCACAGATACCCACGGAAGGGCAGAGCAGTGTGGCCAGGCCACTCTGCTGGGGTTGGCAGGCCAGGGGCAGCAGGGCGACAGGAGGGGACCCTGGGGCTCTGGGGTGGGAGTGCAGGAAGGAGTGATTCCGGAGAAGGCAGAGCTACAGCAGCCACTGGAAAGTAATGTGTTTTCTTCCTCCTGGACAGTACCCTGGCGGGCGGGCGGGTGTCCCAACCTGGGCCTGCTCCAGCCTACAGAGAAAGGCTCCTTTGCTCCAGGCCCATGTCCTCGCCCAGGGTGAGCCTACAAGGACAGGAGCAGGCAACATCAATGATTCTGCACAACACTGATGGCTTCCCTGAGAGGTGCCAGTCACTGCAACCTCTCAACTTCTCGGTGTCTCAGAGGTGAGGCTCATCTGTCACACCTACGCCCTGCCAGCAGCCCTGCCCATGCCCAGGGCCATAAGACTATGGCACAGGCCGGCTGTCGCCCACAGGGCACCCTGACACCCCACCTTCAGCAGCACACACCCCCCCGCACCATCATGCACGCTCCCCTGGCCTGCCCCACGTGCACAAGGACACCCCTATAGGCCTATCCTGCAAGGAAACCCTCCTCTCCTCACCCCTGCACAGATACTCCCTCCCCAGGTGCCCTGAGCTTCCCCCACCTTCCCCAAAACCTTGTCTGAGACTCTGGGGCAAAATCTTTCCTGGGAGTTTTGCTGCTCCAGATCCACCAGCCAACACTGGGGGGTGGGTAGGGGGCAGGGTCTCCCCTCAGCCCCCCCATGGAGGGTGTGGGGAGCAGGGTCTGTCCCTGAACATTACGATGTGATGCTTATTCACTCACACACGCTGCCCCGCACCTGTGTGCTAGGCTCTGTAGGACGCTGCTGCCGAAAAGGACAGTCCATGTCCTCAGAGAACTTACGCTCTGAGGCGGGGGTAAACACACACCCATCCGTGCAGGTAGGAAGCTGCAGGAGGGCAAAGCAGAGTGATGGGGCCAGGGGCACGTGTGGGGGTGCCCCTCCAAGGAGGTGACATTTGAGCAGATGTGTGAATCTTTTGCTAAGGCTCATTATGCAGGAAAAAATAACAGTAAAGATTTGTAAAAATAGCGCAGGCGAGCCAGCTCCTTCCTTCAGAGTAAGAGCCAGGGCAGCTGCAGGGAAGGTGGCACAGAAACATTTGGGGGGGGGAGGCGGCCACAGGGCACTCTCAAACGACCCTGGCCTAGTCCTAGCTTCTTGAGAGGTGGGGTGTCCACTGGGCCTGGGGCTCCTAGAGTGGAAGCAGGAACAGCCAGGAGTGTCTGCTGGTGGGATGTCTTGGCGCATGTGCAGGGAAGAAGAGGAGGGGGCCCAGGAATCTGTCCGAGCTAGGGAGAAAGGATTACATGGACACTCCGCTGCCTCCCCTTCTGCCTCCTGGTCTCCTTAGGGCTTGCAGCCAGGACCTCGGAGTGACAAGGGGCCCTGGCAGAAACACAGATGACTCAAAAGCCTAAGACACTTACCCTCCCAGGTCACCTGGGAAGACAGAGTTCAGACTCTGACACCTGGCGATGGCTGTGCATGGGGAGGAGTATGGCTATCCCACCTTCTGGGCAAGCACAGAACGTTGGCAGAGCTAGGACGTGGGGCACAGACCTGTGGCCATGCCTCCAGGCACACAGGATTGGGTATCAGGCTTTATAAAACACAGGAACAGGGTGTTAGGCCAATGATAATGCCAGTGTTCCAGTACCCCAAAATACACAGCACGCTCAAGCTAGAGTCAGAGATCCCTCAGCAAGGGCATAGACAAATGCAATGAGGAATATTCGTAAATGGAACACTCCTCGGCAACAACAAGAGAGAACAAACCACTGATACACACCGCAAAGCTGCAAATGTCAAAACCGCTATGGTGAATGAAAGAAGCAAGGTCCAAGAGTACTTACTGTATGTTTCCCCTTACACCAAGTTCAAGAACAGGCGACTCAGAGCCGGGGTGACAGAAACGGGAGTGGTGGGTGAGGGCACTGGACTGTAAAGCAGCTTTAACTTTCTCGGGCGTCGGAGACATTCCCTATCTTGGTTTGACTGACAGTTACATGGTCTGTATTAGTCAAAACTCATCCAACTATACATTTAACATCTGCACCTTTTTTGACATGTAAAATCTATTTCAATAAAAGAGTCTCAATTGATTAAAAAAAATAAATAAAAGAAAGCACAGAAGAAAAAATACATGGCATTACAAATACCAAAACCAAGTAGTGCAAGCCTAAACCCACCATGTTATCCTTTATGCCCTGGTTGTCAGGGAGCTTAAGGTAAATCTGTATGCCTACCTAGCTACACTTTCTGAAATAATTTTTCCTCCTTTCTCATACATTCCATAATTCTGGATTTTTTGATCATTCCAGATTATTTGTGTCTTCCACTATAATCTGCTTCAAATCCTTCTCGGAACTTGGCAGGGCTCAAATAATAAATTAAAATTACTGCAAAGCCTTCTCAGCTTCTAATCCCCCTTAGAGAAGAGATTAACTTTAGAGCCGAAACTTGTGACGATCTCTCTCGCCAGAGTGGGCATCCTTCCTCACCTCCACTGAGGTCCCCACCTGTCCTCAGCTCTTTTTCTTTTTCCCAAAGAGAGGAAGACAAGTGCCCCAACAGTGACTCAGAGAAAAAGCCACAGCAACTGTGGGGTTTGACCAGGATGCAACAAAAGTCACCAGCTGCAATGAAGCCAAGGCCAAGGCCAAGGCTGAGGAGTCAAGTGAGCACAGGGCAGAAAGGGGACCACAGCTGACCACAAGGCACAGCCGCAGGCCCGGTGGGAAGAGGGGAGGTCTGCAGGAGCCACGTGCATCCTGCACTCACCTCACAGGCCTTGAGGCCCACCCGCCTCCCTCGTAGGCTTGAGCCCCCCTCCCTAAGGTGCCGTGATCCTCAGGGTGGGCAATGGGGGCTATCCTGCCCTCTGAGGTCCTGTCTGCCCTTGCTGGACCAGGCCGCTGCAGACCACGCCTGAGGAGAGGCCTGCGCCCCTGCGTGGCTCCCATTGCCTGCAACTCTGCTCACGTGATGGGCCCGCTAGTGGCCCCAGCAGAGGTCACTCTCTCAGTAAGGTGAGGACAAGGCGCGGGGTCCCACAGGCCACACCAGTGCAGGGGAGAGGCCAGGGTCATCCTACCACTAAGGCTTTGGCGGGAACCATACAGACCATAAAGAAAGGGCTGGAGGCAGACTGTGGGGGCCCCAGAGAACCCAGGGGGCCCATCCGCTGGCTGTGCATGAGCCAGGAGTGGGGCTTGGGGCACGGCACCAGCCAACCACGGCAGGATAAAGACAATAATCTCCACAGCAGTAGCTGTGTGACTTGCTATCCCCTACTGACAGCTTCACGCTTCCCTCAGCAATCGCTCACAAAACCCCAGCTCAGGGCTGTTAATGTCCCCATGATACTGATGAGGAAACTGAGGCTCAGGGAGGTTCAGCAACTCACTCAGGCACAGAGCTGACACCAAAACACCCTCCCCACCCCAAAGCAGCCTCTCTGGGAACCCCTCTCAACCCCCTGAAAGGCTCTCAGGAGAGTGGGAAGACACCCGGCTCCGAACGGGGACCTGGCCCCTACCACAGGGGCCACGCCCTCAGCTGCAGCAAACAAGGGAGAGAGAGGGGAGCAGGGCAGCCACCGGTCCCACCCTGAGTGAAGCCTGACAGCAACCAGAGCACCCACCACTACCAGCCATCACCCACGGGGCAGGAGGGCTTCCGGGTGCAGAGGGCTGGCGGGAGCAGGATCACTCCTACAGAGGGAGGGACGGCATGGCCAGTGCCCTGCTGCAGGCGAGGGCGTGGCAGAGGCTGTGGAGACTGAGCTGAGGACTTTGGACTTGGACGTGGCCACTTCCCACTGTCCCCTCTGGAGCCTGTTCTACCAGGCGCCAGCTGTCTACTGCCCAGGCCAGCTGTGAACCCAAAGGCAGACCCTCGAGGCTCCTTGGCCAGCTCTCCCACTCATGGCACTGGCTAGCACAGAGCCAGATATGGAGGGGGGCCCAGGATGGCCGGCAGAGGTTCGACCAGATGCCAAGCCTGGCCCACTGATCTCCAGTGAGCCCGGCGGGGGCTGGGTGGGCTAGACCGAGCCGGCTGCCCAGCCCTGGGCAAGCTGCCTGGCCTCTCTGAGCCCGAGCTGCCTGGTCTGCCGGGGTGCCGAAGGGGTTGCACAAGCTCACACGTGGAAAGCTACAAGCAGAGGGTCGGTCTCTCAGCAGCCTTAGCCTCTGGGGATGGCTCAGCAGGCTGCAGCCCCCACAATTAGAGGCCATGCAGGATGATGGTCATTTCATGGCTTTGGATTCTGTCAGTCTTGGTTCCCACCCTGCCTCTGCCTCGCCCTGGCCATGCATCTCTGGCAAGACACGGGCCCTCCCTGCGCCTGTGAAGCCGAGCCCAGTGCCTGGCACGCAGGGCAGCACTTGTGCTCCCTGAATGGACCCTCCCCCAATGAAGGGGCACAGGAAGGGCTGAAATGGCCACACCCATTTCACAGACAGCAGAAGGACTTCTCTGCAAGCCGGAAGCTGCCCTCTCACCAGGCAGTGCCAGGGGCAGTAGCATCTTGCCATTCCTAAACATGGACCCATGCCAACGCCAGCTAGGGGTCTGAGGTGGGTGACACGGCCGTTTTCCTTTCACATGTGTCCCGCCAGGCGAGGGAAGAGACAGGCAGGGCACTGGCCAGCCGTGCCCAAGAGGAAGGCAGATGTCAGGGAGCAAGCAGGTGAGTGTCCAGGGACTGCCTGAGCACAGGAAACAGCACTGAGCAGAGGGAGCTGGGGACACCCTGCTGCCTTTCCCTCTCTGGACCCCAGACCCCATGTGAGTCAAATGACAGGGTGACACCAGCCAACCCCTGCTCAGATACTCAAGAAGTCATTCCCTACTCAACCTGGCCCACACAACCTCTTCTATCTGTTCTGAAGCATCTTGTAATTTCTGTAGGCCAAAGTGCCTGCGTCAGCCCCATCCAGGAAAAGACTGCCCAAATGAATGGGTGTGCTTAAAACCCAAATGTGTCCCTGAGCACCATGTGGGCAATCACCACTCTGGGTTCCAGGAGCAGGGCTTGAGCAGGCGGCTCAGTCTGGAAGCCTCTGCTGGGCCTCCTCAGCACATGAAAGCAATTTTCTGAACATTTCACTGCCGCTCCAAAAATGAACTTCTCCTCCTGGCCCCAGCTCCTCACAGACTGCCCAAGGTCCTAGGAGAGAGCCAGAGTAATGTGACAGCCCAGCCACACAAAGGGCAGATGGCGAGACCCCCACCTACCCCTACAGAATTCCTGTGGGCTGTGGCTACAAGTGAAAGGGTGGGAAGTGACTTGGATCCTGCAGCGGTGTGGATGGACCAGACCTTGGTGGCAGGTCCCCACAATGATGCTGGTCTGTCCAAGTCCCACCTGGCCTGCCACCCCTCTTGTCACACATAAGGCACAGAGCCAGGAAGGCTGCCCAAAGTCCCATAAGGCAAGGGGTCTTCATGCCATCCCAGACCACCAAACCAAATCAAACAGAACTTCTCCGTTAGAGACCTGTCCAGGCTCTGATGTGGCCAGAGTGACATTCCCTGTTTACTACTGCCCTGGAGACCCCGGCCCCCCAGCAGGCTCAGGTGGTCCACCTTGCTTCTCTGAGGAGTACCCACAGGAGCAGGACTGGTCCGTCCCCTGATGACCCTGAGCCAGAGAAAGCAGAGCTCTGCAGGAAAGCAGAGGAGGAGAGAAGTGCTGGCAGGCAGTTTCTGTCTCCTTTCTTTCTAAAGATGAGGCAATTACGCTCTGAACCAGAACAGACGGGGAGGGGGGGGGCGTGCACATTAGCGTGGTCTGGAAGCCCTAATTTTTTCATCTGTAACTCTGCATTACCGCTTCTGGAGACAGGCAGGAGCTGGGATCTTTAATTCCATAATAACAATGCTTTGCACTCACCCAGCATCTCCCCTCCAGCAATCTGCACACACTCTGTGGTAGTTAACCAAGAGGCCACTTGCCCTGCCAGGAAACCCCAACTGTCTGCTTCACAGAAAGGAAGAGGTCGCCCAGGTGAGGAGCAGTTCCAGTGGACAGGCACTCTGGCCCACTGCCCCTTTGTGATAAGCCCCTAACTCAGCAGAGAAACAAAGGCTGGAGCCACAGCTCTCCGGCGTGCAGAAGGTCCCTTTCCTAGCAGGATGATGGGTATCTACCTCCCACCTCAGTCAGTCTATCTGTAAAATGGGCCTGTCCCTGAGGCCTGGTCACTGAGGACAGCCAGGATCACTTACCTCCCTCAGGAGGTGAGATCCAGGTGCCCAGAGACACCAGCGCCCAAATGTGGAGTCCTGGCCCTGGGTCTGCCCAAGCCTGCCAGCCCCACCAGGAAGAGGGGGTGTCAAGCAGAAGAGAAGCCCCTACAGCCGGGCGGAGGGGGGGGGCTGCCAGTCAGGGCCCCGGGGGTTCAGCAAAGGGAGGAAAACTTCCCAGGAAAGTGAGTAGCCCAGCCATGAGGGGTGGGCACCATTCCCACCAAGCCAAGCTGCCCTGGGAAAGGGGTGTCTGCGGGCACAGGCACAGACCCCGCCCCAAGCCTGGCCACACGGGTGAGGTCCCTGGAGCACAGCAGGGCAGCTATCCGAGGGGGTTTCCTGAGAGCCAGCAGAGACCTCCCCACCCCGCACCCCGCCCAGCAGTCCTGGAGGGCTGTCCCCCCACCCCGGGAGTGGCAGAGACCCTCCCCACTAGGCCCAGCCCTCCTGGCGTGGGGTCCTGGGGCACGGCACGGACTCCAGCCTGGCCCAGCTGTCCCCAGGGGATCCTGGGGGGCCAACAAAGACCCCTGCCGACCCAGCCATCTTGGGGGGCTCCCCGCGAGGACAGCACAGACCCCTTCTCCTGGACGAGGATGGAAAGGCAGGGGCAGAGGCCGGCTTGGGGGAGGCTCCTCCACCCTCCCCTCCCAGGCTCGAGAAGGCCGGGCGGAGCAAGCCCAGCCGGGCGAGCCCGGGTCGGGGAGCCCCCGCGGCATCAGGCCTGCAGCGGGCGGCGCGAGGTCGCAGGCCCGCCAGGGGCACCAGCCCGGGGTCCCGGGCGGCACTCACCGGCACGGACATCTTGGCCGCCGCTCCCGGGGCCCGGCGGGCAGCGGCGCGGCAGGCTGGGGGCTCGGGTCCGCCCGCGCCGCTCACAGCCCCCGGCGCTGGGTCCCGGCGCTGTCGCGGCGGCCCGCGGGCTCCTGCGCGCTCCCGGCGGCCGGACTGTCCGGCCGCTCCAGCCGCGCCGCGCATGCGCCGCCCGCGCCGCCCCTCCCCCTCCCGTCTCCGTCGCCGGGGGCCGCGTTAAAGGCGAGGACCCCGGACCTCGGCGCTTTTCTGTCGGCCCAACGCGGGGAGGAGGCTGCGTGTCCACACCTTGCCCATCCTTCAAGGGCCACCGCCAGTCAGTCGCACTACGTCCTGCTCGCCCACCCGGCTGCCCCACCCCCACTCTGCACATCCCCGGCGCTGGGCGCCTGCCCCCGGCCCTGGCCCGGCCCCCGGCCCCGTGTCCCGGCGCGGACGGGGGAGGGGCTCGATCGGGCCGAAGGCCACCGCCGACTGGCGGAGCAGGGTTCCTAGAACCGCTCTGCCGGCCCCCAGCCCAGGGGGAGCCCAGAGACCCCCGGCACCCACGCGGCGCTGCCAGGGCGCCTCTGCCGCCAACCCCGGGGAAGAGGAGCTCCCGACAGACTGGCTCATCCTCGGGTCTCCCGATAGTGGGATTTGGATCCCTCCTCCCTCCCGTCTCCCGGTGACCCCACAAACGGGCCCACCCACAGCCAGGCCGGCTGGGCCACAGACCACCTCTTCAGGTGCTGGCAGACATGCCTTTGCGGACCTGAGCCTTCCTTTCCCCAGATTAAACACCCTCAATTTTTTCAGCTGTTCACATGTGATTGGTGCCCAAACATGGTACCTGCAACCACTGGGCACATACATGTTAGTCCTCATCCCCCGACCCCCTGCCAGGTGGGCCTGGCTGCTGCTTCCAGGTTACATTTAATAGGCTGAGGCTCTGAGATCCCTCAGCCACCAAAAGGAAGAACCAGAGGTGTGACCACTCTGCTCTGCTGCCGAGGGAGGGCTGGGCGGAGCCCAGGGCAGTGACCCTGGGGAGGAAAGACACAGCTGTTTCCATGAAGCTGGTTGGCAGCAGCCCCGGCTCATAGGGAAACCTGGGGAGCTCCAGCCGCCTAGGAAATCTGTGTGTGAGTGTGTGTGTGTGCATGTGCCTGGGGACAGGCTTTTCTGCCTGCCAGGTGTGCTGTGCCAGCAGGCCCATGGTGATAGGGTGGAGGAAGGAGACACGGGCAGCAGGCTGGCTTCCCCCGAGGCCCACATCTGGCCCCAGCTCCCCAGACCTCAAAACCCTCTGTCAGCAGGTCGTTTATTGGAGTTTGGAAGGCTTTGGGCCTTCCTCTCAGGGGTGTCCCGAGGAGAGGAGGGTCCTAACTAGCCATTGGCAATGAGGGGAGTGTGAGATGTGCAAGAAAGGGGGCAATGGTGGTCCAGGATAAGCCCCAGTTCCCTGTCCTGGCACCGATGAGGGCCCCTCCACCCCATCCCCACTCCACCGCTCCCCCCCACTCCAAGGGAGCTGGGTTGCTCCCTTCACCCCACTGAGTGGGGCTCCCAGTTGTGTACTTCAGTGTCCCCAGCCCGCTGCTCAGCAAGGCGTTGGAGGGGGCAGGCAGGGCCACAGCCAGCAGGGGAGTCTGGCCCGACAGCTGCCGTCTCCTCAAAGGGCGCTCTGTGCGGATCTGGCACGCAGCCCTGCCCGTGCCCACCCTCCAGCATCCAGCTGGCACTGGGGCTCCTGCACCGGGAGCAGCAGCTCAGCCTGGCACCCTCGCTCCAGGCCACACACCCCGCTGTCTCTCAGGCCCAGCAGCCACCCCACACCCTCAGTCCTCTCCCCTCCTCCCCTCCTGGGCCAGGCTCCACCTCTCCCTGTCTCTCCTACTCTGTTGGTTCTTAGGGCCAATGACTTCTGTCTCCTCTCCCATCTCCCCCATCTCTCAGTCCCTGGGCCAGAACGCGGTGGGCGGTAGAGGGAAAGACCCCTTCCACACCTGTGGGTGCAGGGAAGTGGGAACCAGGGGAGGGGTGCCGCTGGGGTCCTCGCAGCCCTTACTCAGGAAGGCGTCACTAGCTCATCCCGTAGCACAGGGAGAGGGCCCCCAGCTAGCACCTTCCCTTACTCCAAGGCCAGGATCCTTGGGGTGTGGGGTTGGAGGCGGCCAGAGGGCACTGAACACCCTTTCCACTGTACCAGGTGTCTGTACAAGCAGCTCCTCCCGCACCCACCCTGGCCAGCAAATGATCCCACGATGACTCAGTCAGTCCTGCAGGGAACAGCCTCTGGGCTGCTCACGCCTGGCTGTCAGACCAGAAGCAACAGCTGGGCTGCCTAAGCAGGCGCCAGCACCCTGAGAAGGTCCTTGAGGGCTGACCAGGGCCCTCACACCCAGGGGCGCTGGCTCAGGCCCCAGGGAGGCAGGGGTCATTGTTGTTCCTGGCACTTCGAGGGAAAGGAATTTGGACATGGCCACAGGGTAAACCTGTGCAGAGACCAGCTTCAACCCAGTGCTCTCAACACCCAAGCTGGCCTCTGTCCCCTGGGCCTTGCCATGCCTAGAGGGGCTGAGGGCTGGGGGGTGGCTCCTTCTCTCTCTGCCCACCTTGGGAACTGGGGGCTTCTCTGGCAAAGGAGCCCCTAGCCCAGGAGTGTACAGCGAATGTTTGGAGGCACTTTCCAGGCTCTGTATAACAATTTTACGTTAGCATGGTACATTTGTCACCATTAATGAACCACTATGGACACATCCTTATTAACTAACATCCACACTTCATTCAGATCTCCTCAATTTTTCCCTAACATCCTCTTTCTGTTCTGGGATCCCATCCAAGGTCTCACACTGCATTTAGTTGTCCTCTCTCATTTGGTTCCTCTGGGCTGTGCCAGTTTCTCAGACTTTCCTTGCTTTTGATGACCTTGACAGTTTTGAGGTGTCAGGGTGGTGTCAGGTGACACCTGAGGTGTCGGGTGGCCAGGGACTTTATAGAATGACCCTCCATTGGGATTGGTCTGAGCTTTTCTCATGATTGGACTGGGTTTGTTGGTTTGGGGGAGGACAGTGGCAGAGGTACACTGCCATTTTCATGACATAAGATCAAGGGTACATGCTATGAACATGACATCACTGTTGATGTTGACCTTGAGCACCTGGCTGAGGCATGCCAGTTGCTCTTTCCCCTTTGTTTTCCCCATGGTTCTCCTTGGCAGGAAGTCACTGTGCTGAGCCCACACTCACGGGGTGGGGAATTTTGTTCCACCTTGTTGAGGGCGTGGTAGCTACATAAATTACTTGGAATTTCTTCTGCACTGATTTGCCTTTCACTATCGACTCATGGGTGTTTGTTTTACACTTTGGTTTATAATCCAATACTACTTTATGTATTTTGTGGCTCAAGCTGTTCCTGCTTTAGCCATGGGGAACTCTTTCAATAGGTGAATCTGATTTTTCAAGAGACTCTAGAAATCCAGACTGGA